CAACAATACTATTGTTGAAAAAAGATTTTATATAGTTGGTAAACTATTTTTTTGAAGATATCTTGTAATCTACAAGACTGATTTTGACTCTCAATAAGCTTTACAACTTTAATTAGAAACCTAAAGGTAGTTAACTTAGTACAAAAAAAGTTTTAGAATAATATAGCCTATATTCAAAAACTTTAATTTCTATATAAGGGTGAGTCAGTAGAAAAAGAACAAATTTTTTCTAAATAAAAGTTTTCTTGACTTTAAGCTTAAATATTTTAGCAACTATCTTATTAAATTTAATAAATTTTTTTTTATTTTAATTCTATATAATTTCAAAATTAAAATAAAAAAATTTTTAGCAAATTTGATTAAATAATTGTTAAGATATTTTATTTAAAAATTAAAAAAAATTTACTAAAAATGATTTGTCTCTTTTCTACTAACTTACCTCTATATATAAACTATGTTACATTATACTATGATCTTTTTCTGGTTGATTAATGAATCACTAATTAATTAATTATTGTGAAAATCATCAAAATCATCCTCTAAATAGTGGTTGGTTGAGGTTTCTTTACTCATAGAGGAAATAGAAAATGCAAGTTGCAATAGTTGTTAATAGTCTTGAAGCAGTAGATAAGCAATTTTGAACAAATTCATATAAATAATATGATCGATTTGTTTTATACTGAAAAATTCAAATATATTATATATATAAATAGTGGCAGTATAATAATGCCTAGTTATTTTAATTTTTGTAGAGTTCATTGTGCTGGTGTAAAATGTTCAATTAAAGCATCTAAATAATATACAGTACATAAATTAAGGCCCTAGTATGATTCTTTACTTGCATAGACTATAACATGGCTCTATAAATAAGATTCATTTTTGTTTCAATGGAGTTAAACTCAGCATAAGAAGAAGAAACTGGAGTTATGTTCATAGGTTAAGAAGTTAATAGATTATTAATAAGAAGGCTTATATCTGTAGACATCTTGACTTTGTAATAGTAGACTCTATTCGATTGATATATATCATTTATATCTTTTCTGTTATAATAAATTTTTAATAACTTTCTATTAAGCAGGTTTACTAATATCTGCTTGTCTAATATTCTTAGTTTATAGATATCATTTTCAAGAATATTATATATATAAAAAGATCTTTTTTATTGTAAGACTAGTTTATAGCTTTGTATATCTATTGTTTTTATATCGTATATTTATATCTTGTTTCCTATTATGAAGTTATTACTAATTTTTATTTTATCGTCATGTGCAATTTTTTTCTTTTGTTAATTTTCACAGATTCGATCTGTGGCTTAGTCACAGGCTTTGAGTAGATCATGTTTTAGATTAAAAATTTTTTGCATAAATGTCTTATCTAACAATAAATCTGATATGTAGACTGCTTAGCTTCCCTTCCATATACAAAAAAAAATGGTATTATTTATGTAGTACTGTGCTTCGCAATTCTATATATAAACAGAACTAGTTGTATAAATAAGTTCCATTCATTTGTATTATTTACTAATTTGGCAAGTGATATATAGATTGATTTATTGAATCATTCTACCAAACCATTAGTTTAAGGATGATATAGTATAGAGTATTGATGTTTAATTTAAAACTTTGACAATAGATTATCAATTATCACATTCTGAAAATAGAAGCCTCGATCTGTAAAGATGAAATTAGAATAGCCATACCTACAGATTATTTCTTTATAAATGAAACTAGCCACCTCTTTAGCTGTATCTCTTAATATCACTTTGGCTTCTAGCTATTTGATTAAATCATTGGTCACTACAATGATATACCTATTGAGCATAGGTGTTTTGAGCAAAGGTTCTATTATATCGATACCAATTCTACTAAATAGTACTTCTACAGGTATAGGGTACAATAGCTTATTCAAATTTTTACTGCCTTGTTGCTAATATTTTTTTTATGTTTAAATATATTAGCAAATATCTTCATATATTTGCGGCCAATAATAATAATTTCTTATTTTGTTAAAAATTATTTCTTAACTTCTTCTAACAGATAATCATGAAGCTGAAGAAGTATTAGTTTGATTTTATATTCTTGGAGGACTTTTAGCAGCCCTTTTTTGTCACTTTTGTTGTTTTTATATAATATATCTTTTTTGACGAGGAAGTGCTTACTTTGAAACTTCAACTTTTAGCATTGATTCTTGTCATAATTCGGTGAGAATTTTCTATAACAAATATAGTTTTAAAAGTAAGATACTTTGTTGGATCTATAACTTCAGTTATATTTATTTATATTTTGTAAATTTTTTATATCTTGCTAGGATATCGACAATCTGAACTAGATTTAATTTAACATCAGATTTGGACTTCAAAATTACTTAAGTAAGCATTTGGTCCTTCTCCTTGTTATATTAGTTGTTTTCTGCTGTTTTCTTCTAATTAACTCTTTTTTTATTCTTTTAGATTATTCTACTAATCTGGTTCATGCTTGTCTTGTAGCTTTTAGATAAGTATTTCTTTTTATTCTAATGTCTGTCATTTATTCACTATATTTTCTTCTCTTTGTTTAATTAATTCATGTTCATCTTTTCAATTCTGATTTTAGACTCTAATTGGTCTGTAAGTTCTGAGATAAGTATTGTATTTAATTTTTGTTCTCTGTAGTTTAATTCTGTGTACTAATCACTATTTATTTTTGAGCTAGATTTGCCAAGACACCAACTACCTAGACCAAATTGCTTTTATCCTTAGATTTTAGCCTAGGTACTTAAATTTTTAAGAATTTTGTGGTTTTGGCTTGAATAAGTATCTTCTCTTTTAAATATAAATATATATATATATTTTTTTTATATTTGTTTTGTTACTAATGTCTACTACTTTTTATCTTTTAGGTTAAATTTTTATTTTCAGGTCATGTGATTTTGTGGTTTCATAGGATCTCAAAATCTTAATTTTTTTTGTATCTTGAATAAAGCTCCACAACTCACCCTATCCTATCCTGACTAACTGCACTCTATTGTCAGGTCTGCTATAAAGTAAGTTTTTTTTTTATTTTTGTTTTATTTTTTTTATTTATTTTTTTTTGACTTATCTTTCTAATTTTTTAATGTTACTAATCTAATTTTCTATTCCTATATAATAATTTTAGTTTATTGATATATTGTTGTCCAAGAGTAATAGCCACTTGGGGTTCTCAGAATTGACTTTAGTATTGTAGAACATCTCTTCTTCAATGTTAGTGTTCTACCAACAATTACTATGACCCAGATAAAAATTATAGAAATAATCTAGGTCAAAGCCTTATAGTTACTGTTTTCAAATTTTAACTTATTATCAGACCATTTTGGTATATTTCATTAATGTCCATTAAGTTATTCATATTATTACTAACATCAGTTCCTCTTGTATTTAGATATCTATTCTGGTAGATTTTAACAGTTTCTCTATAAAATTTGTTATTTAATTGTTAAACTATTTCTTTATAATGCCTTCACTGCTTAAAATAATCTTATAAATCTCTCTTGATCAATTCATTATACTTAACTTTTTTGTCTCCAAATTCTGAAGGCCAATTTATCAAATTGAAAACTCCTACTATTTCTTCTGGAAAGTAATATTTGGTGATAGCTTGATAGACTTCTACTACTTTAACAGTTTCAATAGTTTGAGCTTCTGAAAATTCTTAACTACTATGCATTATATTCTTTTTTTCATTAATAACTATTCTTGAGAGAGCATTTGCATTATTATGTTTACATCCAGCCCTATGAATTATAGTAAAGTTATAAGGCTAGAGCTATAAAATTTACCTGGTCCTATAACCTTTAGGTGTGATCGATTGCAACTATTTAAACATAGCATAGTTAGTTACTACAATAAAGGGTCTATAGCCCAAATAATAATGAAAATATTCAACTGCCCAAATCATGGTATAATATTCAAGTTCAGTTGTAATATAGTTCTATTCTGGTCTAGTTAAACTTTTACTGTCATAAACAATGCTATATTCTTTTTTGTCTTTACTCTTTTGCACTAATATAACACCAAGTCCAACTCTAAAAACATCAGTATGAAGATAAAAGGTTTTTAAAAAATTCAGATATCTCAAAATAGGGCCAGTTATTAGATAAGTTTTCAATATTCAGAATGCTTGTTTTTGTAGCTCATTCTACTTGTATCTGCTACCTTTTTTCAAAAGTTTATATAGAGACTTAATGATAGTTACAAATCCTTTAATGAAAGATGATAATACAATGCAAGTCCAATAAACTCTCTCAGCTGTCTTAGGTTGTTTGACATAGAAAATTCTTTAATTTTTGCAATTTTTTCTGGGTTCGGCTTAATTCTGTCTCTTCCCACTACATAATAAATAATACATTTTTTTTGGATTAAGCTTCAACCGGTATTTTTAATTTTTACAAAAACTTTTTGAATATGGTTTAGATGATCCTAGAATGTTGGTAAATATATAATAATATCATCTAGATATACTACAACAAATTGTTCTAGAAATTTATTCAAAATGTAGTTTATAGTTCGCTAAAAAGTTGCAGAAGTATTATATAGGCTGAATAGTATGCTTCTAAAGGCATAAACTCCTTGCTTGGTAACAAAAACTATCTTTTCTTGATCCTCTAGTTTTACTTCAATTTGCCAATAATCACTAGCCAAGTCCAAGCTTGAAAACTAGTTTAATTTGCTAAACAGTTCTAGCAGGTTGTCAATTCTAGGCAGGGGTACATATCTTTTTTCATAATAGCATTCAGTTTGCGATAGTCTATACATAGACTAAGTTTTTTTTTTTTTTAGATACTATTACAACTAGAAAAATTCGGAGGCTCTTGATTTTATAAATTAGACTATTATTTAATAGCTTCTTTATTTCTGTATTTAAAATTTTCTGTTCATTAAGTGCTATCTAATAAGTAGCTTGCTTGATTAGTCATACGTTTTCTGTATCTATTTTGTAGTATACTGCAGTAGCATATTTTAATATATCTGATCTGGTTAAAAATAAGTTATCAAACTCTTTTAAGATAAGTGTTGCTTCTTTTACTTGCTCTTGATTTAGGGTTTCTACTTGCACTAATTCATTAATAATTTCTTCTGAGGTTAACTTGGTTTCTTTACTTTTTTTAATAGTTAGAACTTCTTCAATTCTAGTCAGATACAAGGTCAGGCTATACTTATTTTCCAATAGGTTAGTATATAACTCTTCCTTATTTAGTATAGTCTCATCAATATGAAAGCTTTTTATTTCTTCAATTTCTTTAGTTTTATATTGATTGAAAAAATAGTCTCTATTACTAAAAGTTTTCTGTAATTTTACTAATTGCTTTTCTTTTGCTTAGTAGACAGATACTTCTATTTGCCTATCAAAATACCTTAGGAATAATTTTCTTTCATCAAAATAGATCCAGACATGAACTTTCTGAATCTAGTCTATTTCTAAAAACATTACTTTCTCAGAATTTTCTAGAACTTGGAAGTTAGTAAGTTCTATTAAGCTTCTGATAATTAATTTTATATTAGGTATTCTTCTCAGAGCATATTGACAGGTACTATTAGCAATAATTACTATGGTATTGGATAGTTTAGTGATTTCAAAGTCTAAATTCTGTATCAACTCTTTTGAAATAATACTGACTGCTGTTCCAAAGTCTAATACAGCCAAGATTGAGTTATTTTGTATTCTTATATAGTATTTAGCAGCAGTTGTCTTTTGGTTAGATCTGGGCACTATTATTATCTGCTATGTTGGTTTTTTTAGTATGAGAAAGAAGTAGTTGTTTTAGAACATTGGACAAAATTTGTTTCCATTTTGGGATAGTCAGCAACTGTCTATATATTGTATTAGATTACTAGTTTAATATATTTTCTGTAATATCATAGAGTGGTATCAAATCAACAACTGAGGGTCCTCATTAGCATCTTATTCGTATTAGAGCTTCCTGTTAAGGTTGAACTAGAACTTGGGCTAGCTTTTGAAGTATTTTTTGCATGGGTAGGTTAGATCTGTTGTACTAGTAGGTTCTGTTTATGTGTAACTCTTTTTCTTAGTCTTTCATCCCAATTAAATTTTGTTTCAAGTCACTGTTTAAGGGCAAATATCTTCTCATAGGCTTTTAAGATATAAATATTATATAAATTTACATTTCTTACTTGGGGCATGTTTGTATTAATATTGTTAGAAGGTTATCTAGGGGTTTGGGATTGTTCTGAAAGGTAATTTCAGATGATATAATCCTTTTTACCACACTTATAGCATTCAATTTCTACTATTAGGTTATCAGAGTTGATTTTGCCTATTTTGGGGCTAGAAACAAGAGATTTCTACTCTAGTAGCTAGAGTAGTAGTAAGTTTTTTCGTAATTTATGGCTATTTGCTATATTTTTTTGGTTAGATCATCAAAAAGCTAGCTAGTGAGTTCATTTTTATTTTTTATTTTTTGGTAATAATTCCTAGCTTCTATTTTTTTAGCTGTAGTTATTGTTTTGTTCAAGGTTTTAGAGTCATTTACAGATATTAATACTATCATTTTGTTATAAAGGCTACCTAGAAACATTCCAACTATATAGGTGTCAGGTAACTCATAATTTGGGTCAACTTTCTTTAATAATTTTTTAAACTTATACATATACTGATCTACCTTTTTATTTTCTTGTTGAGCCAATGTATTCAGTTCGATCTGCTATTGATGTTTATATTCTAGGGCAGTAAAATATTTAGAAAATGATTAGATAAAGCTGTGATCTGAGTTGGCATCATCATTCTAGAACAAGAGGTCTTCTTTTTTGTCATAATACTAGCTAGTTACAATTTTTGATAAATATTCTGCCACAATCTTTATTTTTCTCTTTACTGGCCAATTATTCATATCTGTCACTTTTTCAAAAGCCTCAATCTATTCTAGCAACAGGGAGGGTGAGCAGACTTTTTTTTGTACCAAAATTTTTGGATACTAAAATTTATTTTGCTTCGTTATTCGAGTGACGAATATTTCATATTTGCTTCATCGAAGCTGAGATTTTTTAACACATAGCAATTATATTGGTATCAAAAATTTGTTATTACATAGGCATAAAAAAATAACAATCATAATATATTAATATTGTTAGTTATCCTACCTCATAATACTTGAAACCAGATATATATAGTTAACAGATAGAATAATACTTCTCTTTTTATATACTAGAGAGGAAAAGATACCAAAATTTTTCATATCACTCAAAGGTGGGCTGATTTTAAAATTTTGGTTACATAATTAAACCACTTATATAAATTGTTGTATATTGATTTAATATTTCTGATTAGTCTGTAAGAAAATATCTGATTAAGGTTATGATGTCCTATTCAGCTATCTTCGAATTCTTTTTAGGAAGTTGAATTTGATAGCAAAAATTTATACCAAAAATTTAGATACAATAGATGTAAAAAAATGATGATTTCAACATATTTTATAGCATTTTTTGGTACCAGATAATAAAATTTTTTGTATATCATAGATAAAGTACCAAAATTTATAAATCAAATTTAATACAGTTATATGAGGTCTTTGCCTTGAAAATTATCTTCTGACATTTTTAATTAGATTAATTTAGACAAAAATAAATCTGATTACTGATTCATGTTCATATGTTAATCATCTTTTATTTTTATTGTTTTTTTTTTTTTTTTTTTTTTTTTTTAACGTCTACCCT